GCTCAATCAGATGCTTGTTCAAGGGGAGTTTGCTCTTGTTGTTGTAGGTGGTGAAGACGGACGCCGTCGCGAACGGCGTCCCGAGCGTCGTTGGACGTGAGTTCGACAGGACTTACGATAGGCTTGGCGCGATGCGTGTCCACGGCGTCGATGTTGAGCGGGATGAACTCGAGGCGGCAACCGTAGGCGACGGGACTCAGCTTGATGACAGTGTGCAAAGGCACCTTGATGTAGGGCAGCTCATCTGCAAAACACAAAAAAAAACACTTGTCTTTCATGCATAATGTCATCATTTGCATCTTCTTATGCGTGCTGCTTTTTTTTTTTTTTAAGGCAAGCGCGTCACGTTATCTGAAACATTGTGAGTGAATTGAGCAAAAGATATTGCATCGTCCGGGAATCGAACCCGGGCCGCCCGCGTGGCAGGCGAGCATTCTACCACTGAACCAACGATGCTGCCTTGTCATCCACGTGCTTCAAATATGGAATTCGAAATCCACTTTTTCATTGAAAACTTGTCAATTTCTGCACAGGTGCGAGGAAGTCCTTGGTGAAGTCCCATAAGAAAGCAAGCACCTCAATCGATCTAACTCAAGATGCCCAACTGTATCTGCATCAGTTTTCTGCAACTTTTTTGGGTCTCCATGCAGACCAGCAAATTTGGACAGGACTTTTCCAGGATCAAAATATTTTCTACAGGCCATATATAAGTTTCATACAATTCTTGTAGACTTAAAAAAACCCTGTTTGAAAGACTTCATGGCAGGTATTTAAAAAAGTGTCTGCTTTTTTGCTAAAATGAAGTTAAGAACCTTTGAAGCAGCTTTAGTGGAATGGCTTCAAAAGATTATAGAAAAGGGGGGGGGGCTTGCAGAAAGTTTGCTCAGATTGAAAAATCAAAATTGGGGAATCCATTTCAGCAGGTGAAAAGTTGTCTGAAGTGTTAAGAGAAAAGCCAACTCTCATTTTTGATCAGATAATGCCACCTGCCATATATTTATTGTCTTCCAAAATTTCAGATAAAGATAACAAACTTCACAGCTACTTTTGATACATTTATTCTGCTGAAGAACATTTCCTGTGGACTTGCAAAAAAAAATTTTCGCAGACCAGCACTGGTCTGTGGACCAGAGGTTGGGGAAAACTGGTCTAAATTACCCTTCTTCATTTGGCTTTTCCTTGTTCTGAGGCTTCATGGAGCCCAGGAAAATATTTATCCTGGACTAAAATCCATTTTTTCAAAGAGATATAACATGATGTAAAAAAGAAGCCATACAGGTCTGATGATCAAGATATACCGCACTTTTGAACCTCAAATAATGCAGACTTCACGCGTCTCAGAATAATTTACCCGAGGATCTCTGTGAACAAAAAACTTTTCAAGACAGCCAGGAAAAAAATACAAAATCACTACTTCAACTTGTTACAGATACAGTAGTTTGAATAAAATAAAATGGCTGTGAAAAATATCAGCAGTATTCCACTATATTTAGTTCATTTATTTTTCCTGCAGCAGCTGCTCCAAATCTAAAACAAGTACGGTGATCCCCTCACGACGCAAATTCGATATGACTTGACAAATTCGTCCTTAGCGCCAAAAAAAAAATTGAAAAATGAAGCGAAAGAAGACTTTGAAAAATAACACACACCTGCGCTTTTTTCCAGGAAGTATGCAAGCAAACAGCGCAAAACGGCTTGGTGCCCAATGACAAGCACGTTCTCCTGTCGTTCCAATTCCATGATGACTGGTTCCAGACGCCCGACCAGATCCTCGTAAGACTGAAGAGCAAAAAAAAAATAAATAAATGCCAAAATACCTGCTGTACAGGGTGGCACAGAAAAATTCCGAGCCGAATTTCTCACAGAAGTATTTTTTAAATGCAGGTTAACATTATAAAATCATTTCAAAAACATCAACATCATAACAATAATCCAGCCAGAAATCACCAGACCATAAAAAAATTTTTGAAACGTATAACCTATTCAAAAATTAAAATTATAGTGTATCCAATCTGATTCAAAAGAACATATGTTTTCTTATCCAGAGCAGCGTTTCTTGAAAATTAAATTCATCTGATGAGACTCCACACGGGTTTTCAATATTTGGCCGAAGAAGTTCAAATGGTCCTAATTAACAAATTGAGTTCCTCAAGCAGTTTTTCTCTAAAATTGAAGTCATTTTATGAAGCTTTCCCATATTTTTTTTCAAAATCTGGCAGAAGAATTTCAAATGGCCGTTATTAGAAAATTAACTTCCTTCAACAAGAAAAAAGTCTCGAATTTTGCGGAATATTTTAAAGTTTTCGCCTGAAACTTAGAACTTAATTTTTATTTTTTTGGCTGGAAAACATAAATTTCGTCAAGTGAAACAATTTTTCATGTGAGTCAAGTTATTTCCGCCTACGAATTTTCGAATGCATTTTATTTTTTGCATTTGTGCGAGTCTCACATTATACAGAAATACACTGCAAGGTATTCAAAATCAACTTTCAAAGAAAATGGTCCGTCTAATCTAAATCATTGTGGGCCACCCTGTATGAAACTTCATCTCGAATGTTTATGCCTTTACAGTCTCGACAGCTATAGGCGACGCACAAGCCATATACTAAACTATACTCTATATAGGTATATAATAGCGTACAGTAGTATAAAGTCTATAAGAAGGAAATAAACTACAGTATAAAAGAGGGAAAAAAACAAACCTCGCCACGTGGATAACGATAGTGGAATTTGTCCTCGTCCCGCGCGGCGAACTCCTCGGGATGCAGCTCCTGGATCTCCTCATAAGTCATCTCTTCGCAGATGCCCTGCAAAAATCCGATGCCGTGGAAAATTTATAAATATTTGTGGATAAAATAATAAGAAATATCTGCACCCGCGATTCTTCAAAAGAAAAAAGTCCTCCAACTAGAACGGAAGATAT